TGCATGAGCAGCTGGATACGAACAGGCGAATTTACGCAGCTCATTTACACACTTTTCCTGAAGATAGAAGAGTTTGCTGAATCTGACGTGGCATGTTCGTACGAACCCTTTGTACGAACAAAAGTAAGAGAAATTTAGGATAAGAATACGAACATGTTCTTGCATGAGGCCCATTGTTTTGAATAAAAAAAACTTTTTCTATAAACTAAACTTTCTCTAAAAAGACCCAACTTGATCCTTCTGGTTTTTCTCATAATTCAGCTACAGAGAATAAAAACACCACTGTCAACCAATAGACAAAGGATAAGGCAGCTGCTGATTAAGGTGGTAACTAAACTTGGCTCAGCTGAAATGAAAAAGGAAGTGACATCAAAGGGGAACTCTTTAAAAAAGGGAACAACTTTGTCTTTGTTTATTGAAAGAATATTGTTTTGAAGTCCGTCTCTTCTTCTTCTCTCTGAAAGTGACTCAGAATAATCTAAAGAAACATCAGATTCTTGTCACAGTCATTGTAGCAACACTTTGTTTACATGCAGATATTTCCCCTTTGGCATCACTTCCTGTTACTTCACATGCAGAAATCTCAACAACTGTTCATTGCAGTGGCATGAATGTTTTTTTATTTTTTTATTTTTTGCGATGTGTTATCAATGTTATCTTTCCAAACATGCATTTGAATTTATGACAAAAAGTTGATATTACTGGCAAGGGTGACTGGGAAATATGGCCAATAACTTAAACTGCCGAATCCAAACAAAACCCAACAAAATAATAGCCGACATAAAAACAATAGAAAAGAATGAAAACTAAAAAAAACTCAACATCATGACATGTAATAAAAAACAGCAATATAAAACATTAAATAATGTCATATTTTGGTGATGTTTTAATTGTTCTCTGCATTTTGCATGTTGCTCACACATTTGTTCATCCTATGAGATTTAAACTCTGTTTCTCTGAACTGAGCTCATTCATGATGCTATGTAATATATGAAATATGTAATTTATCTATAATCTTTCCCTCACTTCAAAATGACCACTTTAGTAAAAAAAATCCTGAAGTTTGCATTATAATTTTCACTGCATCTTTTTCATATAAGGAAACAAAATCAGTATTTTGAAGACTCTCGATGTGCTCGAGCTCTGAGAAATGCTGCTAATAAGAGAGGAAGTGACAGGTCTGAGTGAAACTGCTCTGTGCAGCCTGTGGAAAAGAAGAGGTCGACAGATAACTGGGAGATAGAAGCTCTGCCGTGAAATGAAACGGATGAAAGATACAGAAAGATATAAAAATATCACCAGAGAGCAGTTCAAGAGAGAGGAAGGGAAAAAAAAAACAGAGTGACCATCAGGACTTTCTGATATTTAACATCTGCCAGACGGGCTGGGAGGAATCAGAAAAAAAAAAAAAAAACTAACGGAAAGAAAGAGTTCCAGTTCCTTCAGAAGAGAAGCTTTTGATTTGGAGTGAGACTAAATAAATTGCCAACGATCTTTGAAGTTAATCCTGATTGTAGACATCAAACTGATTGGATGATGATGTCTTCATGGTTGGGGGGTGGGGGTGGGGACTCATCTGAGTCTCCTTTGCTCTAACACAAAGAGAACTGTGACAAATTTAACTGAGACAATGCTGATTTTGGAGGGGAAAAATTAAAACACCTTTTCAAATCATCATTCAGGATCACTTGTTTGATATTTTCAGATCTATAAACCCTTCATCAGGTTTTTTTTCAGCTGCAGCTCATTGATTTTTGAGTTTTGTACTTCACAAGGTTTGATTTGGTTTTTGGCCTCTTGCATTATTTAATAAAAGCTTGGAAATTTGACTCAAATTGAGTGAAATATACGGAGGACTGAAACTGTCATAATTAGAAATAAAAGCTGAAACACTATAAATAGACCAATAAAAATAAATGCACTTAAAATTCTCCAATTTAATTTAAAAATAAGAACTTTACTTCGTTTTATCATTCATTTGACTTTCATTCTTATTTTTCCAACTTAGTTTCAACAAACTAAGCTTATTTTAGCACATAATTTATATTTTACTGTTTATATATATAGGCTTTTCTTTTACTTGTACATCTCTTAAATTTTTATATTTAATTTATTTTATAATTTCCATGTGTTATTTTTGCATTTCTCTATCTCCTGATTTTACATTACCTTATGCCTTTCTGCCTCATTATGTAAATGAGGTGGGTGGAGCTTCTTGAGTCAGCTCCTCTCCTATTGGTCAACAGATAGGAAGAAGCAGGATCCCTATGCAGATCTACTTTGCGTGCTTGTGCTGCCTCAGTTTAGCTTAAAGTTTAATGTTTAGTTAAAACAAAGGCACAGGTGAGTGTTTTCCTTGTCTTGCCCCCCAAAAGGCAGAAACACATTTATATATACAGTGTGTGCTATTATTTCAGTTCATACTTTATAAAAAGGTTAGCAGGTAGCAGTATTGATCCAAGAATTTAAAATGTTACCAACCTGACGGAGTTTCAAGCACTGAACTCTGCATGTGTTCAGCTACAGAACAGACGTCCAGCTGCTTTGTCCTTGTTCTTTCCCTTTCACGTGTCCTGAGGACTGAAAATGTACACCAACAGATGATGCTAAATTAGCGCAGGGCCGTGTCGATGCTAACATGTTGGAATCGATACTCCAAGTTTATTTTACCTTTTCACATCACGCCTCCTCCAAAACCACTGACGCCCCCTAGGGGAGACACGCCCAGCTGTTTGAAACGCCCTGCGGAAAAATAAACAAGTAAGATAAAAACAATAAATAAATAAATAAATCCACTAATAAAATAAACTATATCTGAAATCAGTGATCACATATTCTTTTCAGCTTCAACTGAGTACTTTGGATTAAATTATAAATGTTTTTAAATCAGATAGTCGTGAATTTGAAGTAACTGATTAGAATTACTCAGTCAAAGTAAATGAATCAAAATTATATATTAAAATCAATACCAACTACCCATCTGGGCAGAGCTGGATCATTAATCTACCTGTTCTGTTCATGCTTGGTCTCCTCATCATCATTCAACTCCACGCAGGTCTGAGATCAAGCCAGGACTCAGCCCTCCCATTATAAACATTAAACTCCAATTATTTACTTTCCAGTGAAGTCAAAGCAGCTCAGATAGTGGAGTTTATCCTGCTGAGCTGGATCGACTCGACCCCTTGCTACTAATTAACAACCAGAGGAAGAAGAAACCAGGAAGTAATCAGAGCAATCAGCAGCTCGTGTTTGGATATGCATCACCAGCGAGGCTTTAAATGTTTTCTTTTGTTACATACAGCTGGAGGCCCACACACTCACTGCATTTATTCATGAAAAATAACTTCAGCAAACACAGAGGAGAGCGGAGATAAGAGAAAAGAAGACGAAGATAAGAATCTGGGTTTGGAATACAAATCACCACGTTAACAATTCGATACAGCGAAGGGGAGATAATGACGAGGTTTCTCTAAATTATCCATTCACACTCAGCTTCTGAAGCATAAATGAGCTGTTAATATCAGGAACATCTTCACTGTAAACAACAAAAGAGTTTGTAATTTATATTTTTTAAAGAATTTAGCTTCTTGTATAGATTTCAGGGGAAACGTAGTTGATCTGAGTTTTCTGGACCTTTATAAAACATGACTGTTCTTTCAAAAATTCACCTTGTTTATATATTTAATAAAGTTCATTCCTATTATTAGAGAAGTGATGTAATAAAATACTAACACTTATTATCAGGGATGGGCAATTTAAATGAGGGCTACATATTACTGCACACTTACCCAAATATAATAAAACTACCATTTTTTTAAATGTTTGTTTGTTAAACCAACATAAAGTGCAGAAACGTAATATATTTCATACTCAAATGCATATCTAACTCTTATCTTAAATATGAATGCAGCACATTTCAGGCAAACAAGAAATAAACACTTAACATATTTATTTATGTATAAAACGATCTCGAGTTTAATACGATCATCATTTTTTTTAGCTTCTAATCATCAATAACCTGTATATAATACACCCCCCCCCCCACACACACACACTTTATGGATGATGTTTAGGGTTAAATACCTAGTATTATGCATGACCAAATACGATACTGTAGTGAGCTGAAGTGACATAAGATGCCTTGTGTGCAGACTCCTGCAAAGTTCTGGTTCTGGTAAAAAGTCGGTGTTATTTATGTACTTGCCACTTGTCATTAGAGCTGGGCGGTATGACCCAAATTTTATATCACGGTATTTTCAACAATTACACCGGTTTCACGGTATTTGACAGTATTTTTTTTCCTCACAGCTCAGCTGATAACAAAATGTACAAACTTTGCTTACTGACTTTTTTTACTGTACCTCTGTATCACTGTTTCCCTCCTCTTGTACGTCTTTTCTTCTTTGGTTGTAGACAGTAATCATGCATTTAGGTCCGATTGTGAAGGGTTGAGAAAAAAATCATTATCTGGTCTATCGTTGCGTGTTAATAAAACTTAAAAAGACGACTCACCTTTTACACCAGTCAATTCAGGTACACTACAAAACTACTTCCCCCCGGCTTTTCACAATAGAAGCACGCTAGAGTCTCCATGCAATAACGTCTTAATTTTAACGTAGCGTGTTAAATCTAACCGTGCACGACACTGAAGAGTTGTTTACTATTCATCGATGGTGAAAATGGGATTTTTTTTACGTCAGACAATATAAGCGGCTGAAACACACCACCCGCCGCCAGTTTTTCCAACAATAATGTTAGCATGCTAATGCGCTTAGCAGTGCTGCAAGGAAACATGTCCCCAGGGAACCAGTTCACTGGCGGCTGCAACGAAACGTTCCGCACGTGTTCAGGATATTTAAAGCGGTATTCAGAAAAATCATATCATAACAGAAATAAAAACCGGTTTTCGGTATAAAATGGTATACCACCCAGTACTACTTGTCATATTTACCTTTGTGTAATGTGTTGTTTTAAAATCATACACAGCAGACAGAAGTGTTTGTTTTGAAATTACCTACTTCCCAAAATAAAAAACAAACTATTTTACTTTAAAAAATCCTCAAAGCAGCTTTTAGAATTTAAAAGTTGATTTGAATGCTATAAGTAAATATGGTAAAATGGTAAATGGGCTGAACTTATATAGCGCTTTTTCATGTCCCTTCAGACTCCAAAGTATGATTTGTTATTTGTCTGCCTTGATTTGTTGACATGCTCCTAATTACACCACCTGTGAGCGATGATCCTGATGAGTGCCTGAGCTGCTGGTCTCCAGACGAGTTGGTCTTAGCTGATGCATCACATTGTTTTTGGTCGTGCTAAGCCAAGTATAGCTTTGAGAAAGTATTTAGAAGTATATAACTTACCTTACCTTTGGTATTTTTTGTTGTTGAAGGTTTTTGCCACGACACTGTCTGGAGTTGTGCCTGTCCAGGATTGTTATCACAAGGAACCTTAAAGAAATCAAGAACCTGGCCTGAAGATACCTACCGCTCTGTTGGATCATACTAAGTCATTCACAGAAACCTGAAAGAAAAGAGAGTATTTTTCCTCTAATCTACTGAACTATTTCTGTTTAAAAAGAAGACTCACCCTGACTCTTTCCCTTTCCGCAGATCTGGCAGAGTTCCCTTGTTCCACACCTGTAAATAAAATCACTTACCTTTTTCATCTGTTTCCTGTGTTTTGGTCACTCAGTTCCACTCAACATCCTGACTTCCTGAGTTAATGTCGCAAAGCGCTTTACGCTTACAGTTATTCGCCCCATCACACAAGCTGCGTTTCCATTGCAAATGTGCACAAAACATTGTCGAAATTCTGTTAATGTTGAAAAAACACAGTTTCACAACTGCGGTGTTTCCATTAAGTAAAAAATGCTATTAAAGTCACACGTGAATACGTTTGTTCTCACGATGTCATTACAAACATGGCGGCAATGGATGTAAACACATAGCATGTTGCTACCACGACACTAGCGCTCATCATCAGAGGAGACGTCAGTGTTTTATCGAGGCTTTCGAGTGACGAGCGTCTTATACTTGGGAGCGGCTACGTATTTGGTGTTTTTGGGAAATTATAGTCGGTGAGTTTACTACGTTCTTTTACAACTTCGTCTGTGATTTTACTACTACTTCTACTTCCTGTTGTCTTCTTCAGCGTTGTCTTTTTCGCCAGTAGAAACAACCATCGCAGTTTTGCGAAACACAGCGATTTTTATACGGCCGAAAAACCACCTTATCCTAGCGCAAAACCATTTTGTTGAAAAAAAAATGAAGTTTTTTCCGAAATTGACATGTTTCCATTGATCAGTTTTATTTTTGAAATTCTAATTTGCGCATTTTCAGGGTCAATGGAAACGCAGCTACACACACTTATGGCG